AATCACAGCACAGAACTACAAAAAGATGAAGGAATATAATCACTATATTATAAAATTTACATGTATTAATATACTTAATTTATACTAACACCCATGAGTTAGCTATTACTCACCAACCTACTGAGACCAGCTCAGCTGTAGAGACCCCCACCCAGGCGGTGCTGAAGGAATTAAGAAGCAGACACCCAGATAGAACAACAAAGCGGGACTATCTGGGGGCCAGCAGACTTCCAAGCTGAGAGCCTCAGGGGCTGACAGCATTCCAGGCTTACGGCCTTGAGCAGACTCTGACCCTTGTAGTTATTCTCTCTAAACAGGTGTTGATTGTTAACAAACAGATGTTCGGTATTTTCTCATAACACAAAAATAAACCAGGTAGGCAGCTGGTGCTGACTTACCACTGCTCACAGACAAACTAAAAAGTAGTCTCCATGAGGGAGCCTTAAGGGCAGGGTCACATATCCTGCGCTTAAATAATTGTTTTAACCGGTGTATGATATTTATATAGTGTCTTGCCACTTTAGAATGCCCCAAATAGTTTTCCACTTGGTGTGGAGGGGGCGGCTAGGTTTTCCTAGGAAACAGTATATTCTATCATACACTCACCATTTCTCAGCAATCATACACTCAGAATTTCTCAACACCAACCCATGTCACAGCTGAGGAAACTGAGGCTCAGAGAGCTAAGGAACAATCCCAGGGTTGCACAGCTGGTGTTCAGACCCAGGTAGTTGGGCTTCTGTGACCGTGCTGTTAAGTGCTGGGTTTTTGTTGTTGTTTTAAATTTAACTTAATTTTAAGTTCCAGGATACATGTGCAGGATGTGCAGGTTTGTTACATAGGTAAATGTGTGCCTTGGTGGTTTGCTGTGCTGTTGTTAATGATGTTTTTTTTGCTTCTTAATGCCTATGCAATTTTGCCATGATAAAAGACTTAGAGGATAGATCCAGGAGACCTAATTTAAGAAACAGAAATTCAAGAAGGAGAAAAGGAATTGTTGGAGGAAGTACAGGAATTAAATAAATGATGAAGTTGAGGTGGGAGGAACACTGGAGTCCGAGGTCAAGACTATAGTGAGTTGTGATCATGCCACTGCACTCGAGCTTGGGCAGCAGAGTGAGACTCTGTCAAAACAAAGAAAGGGAAAGAAAGATAGAGAGAGAAAGAAAAAGAGAAAATTCCTCTGTGATTTAAAAAGACTTGTGATTTAAAAGGGCTCACTGAATTCCAGTCTGCATTGAGAAAAAAGGGACACATCTAGAAATATCCTTAAAAATCCCTCAACTCCAGTTGGGTGCTGTGGCTCAAGCCTGTAATCCCAGCACTTTGGGAGGCTGAGGCGGGTGGATCACAAGGTCAAGAGATCGAGACCATCCTGGTCAACATGATGAAACACCGTCTCTACTAAAAATACAAAAAAATTAGCTGGGCATGGTGGCGTGTGCCTGTAATCCCAGCTGCTCAGTAGACTGAGGCAGGAGAATTGCCTGAACCCAGGAGGCGGAGGTTGCGGTGAGCCGAGATCGTGCCATTGCACTCCAGCCTGGGTAACAAGAGCGAAACTCCGTCTCAAAAAAAAAAAAATCCCTCAACTCCCAGCTTAAAGAGAAATTTCTGTAAGCTTCCAGACAAAAAGAACAAATGACGTATAAAGGAGCATCAGACCTTCCTCAGGCTTTTAATCTGCAACACTAGAAGCTAGAAGATTGCAGAATAAAAAAGTGATGACAATGAGAGTAAAAAGACCTTGGCATAAGGATCTGACATCCAGGCTGACAAGCCTTACCTATCAGGGTGAGAGAATGTTTTTGTGGATATATTATGGATCGGAGAGTACAGCACCCACACACTCCACTTGGGGAATTTATTCAAGAAGAGCCTCCCTCCAAGGAACATATGAATCAATCCCAAAGGTAGTGTGTACTTAACAAATAAAGGCTGGGGGCAGTGGCTCACACCTGTAATCCTAGCACTTTGGGAGGTCAAGGTGGGTGGATTGCCTGAGCTCAGGAGTTCAAGACCAGCCTGGGCCACACGGTGAAACCCTATCTCCACTAAAATACAAAAAAATTAGCCAGGTGTGGCAGTGGGCACCTGTAATCCCAGCTACTTGGGAGGCTGAGGCAGGAGAATCACTTGACCCTGGGAGGGAAAGGTTGCCATGAGCCAAGATCGCGCCACTGCGCTCCAGTCTGGGTGACAGAGAGACTCCGTCTCAAATAAATAAATAAACCAAATGAATCAAAGCAAAAATCTCAGGATAGTGGAATGTGCAAAAGAGAGGAAACAATAATAGTGAGACTTAAGCCTAATACATATCTATTTCCCTGAATTTAAATGAATAATGATAGAGCAACTAGGAAACTTATTCTATAAATTTAGATTTATGATTGTGGTGGCAGATTTAAAAACACTCCTTTTAATCAAATCTAAACAGGCAAAAAAACATAGTGAAATCCTAAAGAAATGAATTATTTCATTAACAGACTCAATTATAGTAAATGTTAACTCAATTATAGTAAATGTGAATGTTAATGTTTGCATTGGTAATAAATGTTACAATGATAGGAAGTGTACTTACTGTGGCAGAGGCCTACCTGAGAGAGCATACCCTGAGAATGACTATGGTCTCTTAAGAAACTGTGTTTGGAGTTACAACCTGAGGAATCCGGGAGTGGCCAACCTGGAGATTCACTCCCTGTGGTTTGAAGAACTTCTGAATCCCTGGCTCATCCTGTGGAATGCAGGCCGCATAGGGGATGGAGGCACTTTGTTTTGGGTTAAATGGAGGTTGCTAGGTGCATGCTTTTCATAAAGGGTAGCAGTCTTCCCTTCCAGGCCACTGCCACTGGACTGTTCCTGTATGTAAGTCCCCCCAGTAAGTCCTATGTCTTGTTTGCTCTCTCTGGATCTCTTTTTGGCCCCTCAGACACAGTGCCATCCCCACTGGAATCAATCTGGGTCTGGCACGACACACTGTAAGTCGAGTGAGAATAAGGTTACTCTCCTGGGTAGGGACACCAAAGGCTCCTCTCAGGGAACATTCTGCTCACTGACCTTTAAATCAAGATGAGAAAATGACTTCTTTGGTTTGAGGTTTTGTTCTCCATTCAGAGAACCTCCAGATAAGTCTTTATTTTAAACTATGGCATCACCTTCCCTTCAACAGAAGTCTGCTTCTTAAATTCTATCCTAAGAAGAGATTTAATAAGGGATAAATGGTGAGAGTATAAATTAAAGGGAAGGGTACCTGAGGGAGAGAGGTGGGGAAAAGACCCTAAAGCTATTAAAAAGGGTAGTTCTGACCCACCTCAGGCCCACCTTGTCTGTCTCCCAGGCTGGGGTACATACTCCAGACTTCTTTGTTCCCATTTCTGTTCTTCCCTATCATCTCTTGGTGCCTACCTTTCAATTGTTAAGTTAATGGAGGGTGGGACAAAGCATTTCTTATTCTTTCAACCTAATTCCTGAGAGAAGCAGCTGCTACTTAAGAAATTTCTCAAGCTCAGGGCATAATTAAGTACGACTTTTAGCCCTGAAAAAAAAAATCTGAATTTCAATTTGGGAGCTCCTAAGTGAGCAGTCTCCTTGACATTTGAAAGCTCAAACCTTATCTGGAGCAGCCCTTTGGAGGCTGATAGACCTTGTTGAACTTGAGCCATTTCAGAACTCACCATAGGGTTATTTTTCATTCCTATTTTTCAATTACACAGCAGAAGATTCAATTAGAATGTGAGGGCTTTTTTTCATTCATCCATAGAAGCTTAAGTGACCATATTTTACAGAGAATACCGTAAAATAAATATTGCACTGGATTTATTTCTTATGTTAGTTTCCTCTTGCTGTTATTAAAATGTGAGGAACATCAAAATCCAGAAGCCTCAGGGTTCACTCAGGTGTCAAAACCTCTCCCACTCGCATCTCGTCCCACTGTTTCTCTGCTCTGCCATGACCTTTGAGAGCCTCGGTTTTTACCCAGCTGTATCTGTTTCTAGCCTCTTCTCCTAGCACATTTGTATGCATTGCAAGAATAACCTCACTGTGGATGTCAGTATTTTTCCATTACAACAATTGTTCCACTTGGGTCCATTTACACAAATATACTATTTTTATTGCAAATAGCTATTCTAAAGCACAAAAGGATTATGTCAGATATCTTGTACACGTTTTTCTCTATCCTCACACAAACATGTAAGCTTGGTATTATTATTCCCATTCCTCAGATGATATTTTGGTTGTCCATTGTATTTGTATGTACCATGTTTTGTAAATCCATTCATCTGTTGATAGATATTTGGGTTTGAGAAAGAAACTAAAATTTTGGCTGGGCAAGGTGGCTCATGCCTGTAATCTCAGCACTTTGAGAAGCCACGGCGGGCAGATCACCTGAGGTCAGGAGTTCAAGACCAGCCTGGCCAACATAGTGAAACCCTGTCTCTACTAAAAATACAAAAATTAGCCAGGCAGGGTGGTGCATGCCTATAATCTCAGCTGCTCAGGAGGCCAAGGCAGGAGAATTGCTTGAACCTGGGAGGCAGAAGTTGCAGTGAGCTGCAATCACGCCACTGCACTCCAGCCTGGCCAACAGAGCAAGCAAAAATCCGTTTCAAAAAAAAAAAAAAAAAAAAAAAGAATTTTGTTTTCTTTTTTTTTTTTTTTTTAAGACAGAGTTTCGCTCTTGTTACCCAGGCTGGAGTGCAATGGTGCGATCTCGGCTCACCGCAACCTCCGCCTCCTGGGTTCAGGCAATTCTCCTGCCTCAGCCTCCTGAGTAGCTGGGATTACAGGCACACGCCACCATGCCCAGCTAATTTTTTTGTATTTTTAGTAGAGACGGGGTTTCACCATATTGACCAGGATGGTCTCGATCTCTTGACCTCATGATCCACCCGCCTCGGCCTCCCAAAGTGCTGGGATTACAGGCGTGAGCCACCGCGCCCGGCTACAAAATTCTTATATGAGGAATGTGAGGCCCCTTTACTGGGACCAGAGGGCTCTGAAATGTGACAGTGTGTGACAGCAATCATGTCTCACCTCCTGCTTAAGCCAAATGATTACCTCTTAAAGCCACTTTACTATGCAGGCTCTAGGCTAACTGATGCCAAGTAGTGATAAAATGCCACACGCTAAACACAGTAACTCATACTCTACATTTCAACTATGCATAGGCAATTGCTAATCAATGTTGTTTCTGCAAACCAATGAGAATTTCTGTCAAACAATTTTGTGTCAGCCCACTCCTTGTTGCCTTTTGCCTTTAAAAACCTGCTTGCAATCATTGTGGAATGGACCACTCCCCAAGGCAACTTGGAAGCCAGTTGCCCTCAACCTTGGCCCAAATAAACTATCTTCATTCATTTGGCCTCAGATTCTTTTTTTTTTTTTTTTTTAGATGGAGTTTTGCGCTTGTCACCCAGACCGGAATGCAATGGTACAATCTTGGCTCACTTCAACCTCTACCCTCCGGGTTCAAGTGATTCTTCTGCCTCAGTCTCCCAAGTGGCTGGTATTACAGGCATGAGCCACCACGCTCGGCTAATTTTCGTATTTTGAGCACAGACGGTGTTTCTCCATGTTGGTCAGGCTGGTCTTGAACTCCCCACCTCAAGTGATCCGCCAGCCTCAGCCTCCCAAAGTGCTGGGATTACAGGAGTGAGACACCACACCCGGCTGGCCTCAGATTCTTTAGGTCAATGTTTTGTTTCCATCTCTAGGCTATTGCAGATAATTCTGCTGTGAACATGGGTGTACATATAGCTGTTCAAGTCCCTGCTCTTAATTCTTTTGGATATATACCTAGAAGTAGAATTGCTCGATTGTAACAGTAATTCTCTTTAATTTTTTGAGGACCACCATGCTGTTTTCCATGGTAGCTGGACCATTTTACATTCCCACCAACAATGCTCAAGGATTACAGCTTCTTTGCATCCTTGCCATCCTGGTGGTTATGACATGGTATCATCTGCCACTTTTGAATGGTGAATACCTAAGAGAAAAAGCAGCTCCCAGTGTGAGGCTCACCTCCCTGCACTTTCTTTCTACTTGGATCTTGGCCCATCAAGTCCTCACTGCCTTTGGTAGTTCTCATTCACACCTATTTCTTTTCTTTCTTCTTCCTCTTCTTCTTTTTTTTTTTTTTTGAGACAGAATCTCACTGTTGCCCAGGCTGGAGTGCAGTGGCACCATGTCAGCTCACTACAACCTCCACCTCCCAGGGTTCAAGTGATTCTCCTGCCTCAGCCTCCTAACTGGGATTACAGGTGTGCGCCACTATGCCCAGCTAATTTTTGTATTTCTAGTAAAGACAGGGTTTCACTGTGTTAGTCAGGCTGGTCTTGAACTCGTGAACTCATGCTCTGCCCACCTCGGCCTCCCAAAGTGCTGGGATTACAGGTGTAAGCCGCCATGCCTAGTTATTCACAGCTATTAAAAGAACATTTGGCCCAGCTTAGAGTTGTACTCACTAAGAGGTTTGTTGAAACAAGCCATTGCTGCCCTTCCACACTTCTGGAAAAAAAAAAAGAGTAACTCCCTAACTCCTTGCATCATGGGGTTCTAAGAAAACCTATAAGGTCATTTTTGTGTTTGGGTTTTTGTTGTTGTTGCTTGTTTTAAGTAGAGATGGGTTTGTTTTCCAGGGTGGTCTCAAACTCCTGGGCTCCAGTGATCCTCCCGCCTTGGTCTCCCAAAGTGCTGGGATTACAGGTATGAGTCACCATGTCTGATCCTGTGTGGTCATTTATATGTGGTAATCATTAATGCTTTTGCCAATTATTCATTTTAGTTTTATCCCCTTCTGGGCATGTCAGGATTGTATTTCTTGGTGTCCTTGTGATAGGGTAGAGCCACGTAGCCAGTCCTGGCCAGTGATTTTCTTTTGCAGATTATGTTTGAGCAGCAGTGTAACTGAAACGCATGCCAGTCACTCGTCACCTGCAGGGTCCAATTCACAAGAGTGAGGTCTGGTCTGAAGAAAGTGTCTTTATTCCAACGCTTAGCTTAGGGGAAGTATAGGCTCCTGCCTTTAAGGGTACTGCTTCACTTTGGGGGCAGAAAGCAGGGACTTCTAAAGGGGATTTGGCATGAATGGCATGCATGGGAGGGAATGAGCAGGTGCAGAGTCTACCTGACTCGCTTTGCTGCCATATCTGCCGGGTGGTCAAGCTGGTGCCATTGCAAGTTGTACAGTGGCCATTGCCTCAAGATCCTCTCCAGGTGGGAGAGAGTGCCCTCGAGGGCAAACTTTAGGTTGTAAATTGATTATTGTCTCTCAGGTGATCTGATGAGAGAGAGCTCCTGCTCTGGAGCTTCTTAAGTCAGCACGGAGATAAGCTTGCTATGCAGGGAGTGTCTTCAGGTCGGTGTCCTTCTGCACACTCAGGGAAATCAATTTACCCTTTGCAGCTCCTGGAGGCTGCCACATTCCCTGGCTCATAGCCCCTTCCTTCATCAAAGCCAGCCACGGCTGGTTGAGCCCGCCTCACATCACATCACTCTGGCCCACTCTTATTAACAAAAGACCATGAGGTTCACAGAGAAAGGAAAGGAGACTTTATTTTCAGAGGGAGAAGCCATTGTGGACTGAGGAATCCAGCTTCCAGGGACAACTAAAAGTACATGCTCTGCAGAAGGGAGTGAGAGCTGGTCAGCCTTACATGCATATTGAGCAGGGTTCGGGACATTCTATGAATATTCATAAGGGATGGTTGGCAGGTGCACAGTGGGTAAACATCTATAACATATATTCCGTTCACTTTGGGATAGGCTTTTAGGCATTAAAGTGGGATAGAATTTGGCTCTTGATGTCAAAAGGTAAACTGTAGGGCACAAAGACAGTTTGTGTGCAGTCTCTTTAAGCTAACTGGCTGCAGCTGGCTTGAGGTCTGCAGCCATTTCTCAATAAAGAAAGTTTATAAGACCAGTCTTCTGTCCAATCAGAGTTGTGGTGGGGAGGGAGGAGAGATTGAGGATCGGGTATGCAGGAGGTAGGTGAGGGGGTTGAGTTGACTAGAATCAGGCAGTCTATCAGGGTCAGTTGGGAAATTTTCCAACTATAGTTGTTTGGGCAACGCTTTTCAGGAGCTGGTTTCTACTTAATTACAGGAAAGAAACCTTATGGCCATTAACAACGCCAGGATTCCTGACGAATCGCCCATCCACTGGCTATGAGATTCTGTTTTTGGTGTGTCTCACTTTAGCCACAAGGAGTCCACTTCGTCTCCTTGTTGTGGGTATATTTTAATACTCTTTGGCCTCCCTCTTCCACATCTGCTGATCTTTGTGATTACACCTGCATAATCTTGAGTGCCCTTTCTATTTTAAGGTCGGAGATTGGCAACCTTAATTCCCCTTTGCTATGTACTGTAACATATTTTCAGATTTTGAGGATTAGATCATGGGCATCTTTCGGGGGCATTATTGTGCCTGCCAGGGTCACTCAGCTTTGCTCTGTGGATGGAGATGGTGCTAACAGCCGTGACAGTGGTGGTGAGGCTCACGGTCCTGATGAGTCTTGCTTGAAGCTATCAGTTAGTACCTTCTTGATGTTTACCTAGTGGGTGTCCAACATTTTCCAACCTTTCAGAATTACCCTTTACTTAAATAATCAAAGAAAAGAACATGCTCTGCAGCCAGAGGAATTCTAGCCCCTTTCCAAATTGCTGAGAATTCCCAGAAGCACATTTACCCTCACAGTCACGGGTTTCCTCCCACTCCACTGCCCCAGCTTCTCCTGGATCTTGCTGGCTCCCCCATCACAGGCTCTGTACACCTTCCACTCCCTCTGTGGTTTTTCCTCCCAAACAGGGACCTTCCCATCATTCTTGAGAGAGGGATACCTGGAAAGAACCAGGTTAGAAGGTTAAATTAACTCCACTGAAGGCCTGAGCTCCTTGTAAGGGCTTTACAGTACCGGAGGGGAGAAGTTCATTTAGTACTTACTACCGAGGACTGCTTGAATCCTTTGGTCACACCAGTGTCTAGGGAGGCCTTTACTCAAAGTCTCCCTCCTTGAGACGAGCTCAGATTCTCTTCTCTGAAGCCCCAGGCCTCAATCTCTCCTTCTAGGACCATCAAAGGAAACAGAAATCCTTAAATATTGACTTTATTATGCAGAGCATTATAATGTCTTTGGTCTCCAAGAGCTTACTTCAGCCTGATCTTAGGGACTTATCTTTGCATAACCAGAGGGCCCATTAAGATGTTTTTTCCAAACAAAAGATACATTCTCTCCCAAGATGAATTCTTTTCCCACTTTTGGAATGCACAAATGCTGCCGTTGAAAAGTACAACAAAGCAAAAACAGCTCCACTTATTTCTACTTTTATTGTTTACCACCATAACAAGTAGTGTTAGTATGTGTGTTGTGGTGCAAAAGACTTAGATTTTATATCACAACATGCATACCAATTGGATTGGTCCATTTTCACGCTAGTAATAGAGACATACTGGAGACTGGGCAGTTTACAAAAGAAAGAGGTTTAATAGATGCACAGTTCCACTTGGCTGGGGAGGCCTCACAATCATGGCGGAAGGCAAGGTGAAGCAGGTTACATCTTCCATGGATGGCGGCAGGCCGAGAGAGAGAGAGCTTGTGCACGGAAATTCCTCCTTATAAAACCACCAGACCTTGTGAGACTTATTCACCATCATGAGAACAGCATGGAAAAGACATGCCACCATGATTCAATTACCTCCCACAGAGTCCTTCCCATGACACATAGAAATTCAAGATGGGGTGGGGACACAGCCAAACCATATCATCAATGCACACACATGACTTAAATAAAAGAAAAAATACCTATTCCTACTATTTGGGATGCACACCTTGATATTTTCCATTCTGTTCAAATTTTAAAATGCTGAACATGGTTCATGTTAGGAGAACAAAATATGCCACCCTCAAATATCACCATAGGAAACCAGATTATGCCACTGTAGGGGAGTGAAAATGCCTTCATTCTACCCTTCTAGGTCCCTTGGCTGGGCTATTAATTAAATTGGCATAAGACAGATTAACAGGAGAAAAATCATATTTCCTTATGAACATACGCACAGATTCCCACAAAATATGACTCAAAGAAAGACTGATGATTGGAGCTTATATGGCATCCGAGCTATAGAAGGGAACAGAGGCTTGAGGCTTCTGCAAGTTATGAGAGGGTGAGGGAAGAAAATGTATGGTGAATAAAGTTCTTGTGCAGATAAAAGTCTCCCAGACAGGCTGGCCGTGGTGGCTCACGCCTGCGATCCCAGCACTTTGGGGGGCCGAGGTGGGCGGATCACCTGAGGTCAGGAGTTTGAGACCAGCCAGACCAACATGGCAAGAACCTGTCTCTACGAAAAATATACAAAATTAGCTGGGTGTGGTGGCACATGCCTGTAACCCCAGCCACTAGGGAGCCTGAGGCAGGAGAATTGCTTGAACCGAGGAGGTGGAGGTTGCAGCGAGCCAAGATCACAATACTGCACTCCAGCCTTGGCGACAGAGTGAAACTCCGTCTTAAAAAAAAAAAAGAAAAAGTCTCCCAGGTAATAGAAGTTGGCTGGAGAAGCCCTCAGGAGAATAGCTGGTTTCTCTCTGGATGTGGCACCTAGGCTCTCTTGTGTGATCCCAGTTAATCTTCCCTGGTGGATGAGACTTCTGGGGAAGGGAATTCCTGGGACTCAGGACCATTGAGTTCCCTTAGGAGGATGGTCTTTAGGTAAGGGGAGCACAGAGAAATCCTCTGCCCGTTTCTCTGTTCTTCTTTTCCCAGAGTACCCTCAGTTCAATGTAATCAGTGCATCAAAATGTCATATTCTGGGGGTGGCACTCTCTGAACTCCCTTACCACCCCAAATATACATGCTATTTTGGCATAAAGATTATTTGAGCTTGAGCTTTTTTTTTGAAAGGGTCTTGCTCTGTCACCCAGGCTGGATTGCAGTGACATGATGATAGCTCACTGCAGCATCAAACTGCTAGGGTCAAGTGATCCTCTTGTGTCGGCCTTCTGAGTAGCTGGGACTACAAGTGCATGCTACTGCATGTTTTTTCTATTTTTTGTAGAGATGAGTCCTTGTTATATTGCCCGGGTTGATCTCACACTCTTGGGCTCAACTGAGTCTCTCGCCTTGGCCTCCCAAAGTGCTGGGATTACAGGTATGAGCCACCATGCCTAGCCCTGAGCTGATTATTCTGAGGAACGGCAGACACAGGAGAAGCTTCAAAACCAGTAGAAGTTGCCCTTTTGTAAGGGAAATTTACGTTTATAAAGTAATTCTCCATTTGTAAGGATGTCTCCCTCTCTGTACCAGGAAGCAAAAGAAGACTCTAAATCACAAGACTTTTATCAGTGAAGAAGGCAATGACTTAAATCTGCACAGCAAACCTTCCCTTGCTTAGTGTACATTTCTTGGTCACCTTCCCATAACTTGCCTTCCCCACACCCTTCTGTCTTTGTTAGCTAAAGAGGGTATTTAAGCTCCAGTTTTAGCCACCTCTTTGAGTTACTCTTCCCTGAGTTTCTCCCATGTGTATGTAAGATCTGCATGTTAATAAATTTCTGTTTGCTTTTCTTTTCTTAATACATCTTTTGTAAGAGAGGCTTGAGCTGAGAACATAGAAAAGTAGAAGGAAATATTTTGTTCTTCCCTTACACTCACTAAATATTTTTTATGACCTGCTGATGGCTCATAACCTGGACTTTTAAAAGCATAGCAGCA